GACCCAAACCCAAACCCAAACCCAAACCCGAACCCAAACCCAAACCCAAACCCAAACCCAAACCCAAACCCAAACCCAAACCCAAACCCAAACCCAAACCCAAACCCAAACCCAAACCCAAACCCAAACCCAAACCCAAACCCAAACCCAAACCCAAACCCAAACCCAAACCCAAACCCAAACCCAAACCCAAACCCAAACCCAAACCCAAACCCAAACCCAAACCCAAACCCAAACCCAAACCCAAACCCAAACCCAAACCCAAACCCAAACCCAAACCCAAACCCAAACCCAAACCCAAACCCAAACCCAAACCCAAACCCAAACCCAAACCCAGAACTAAAAATAGAATTCTTCTAAACCCAACCTTCAAACCCTAGCCCAAAATTATAAACTTATTCAAATATCATTAAATTTTATATCATTCGATTGGAAATGATGAGTAGAACAACGTGGTATATTTAGTTTTTCAATTTATAAAATATTAACTTTGTAAATAATGTCAGATTAAAATTTCATAAATGAAACCATATGAAGAATGATAATTTAAAAATCCTTTAATGAGATTATATAGTATATATCATCGTTAACAACATTCATAATCACTTTCATATAAAATTTCAAAAGTTCATCTCTGTAGGTATAAAAGTATAGAGGGAAAAGGGAAGTTGTGAGGTAAAATAGGTCAGCTATAACTTTTGAGTTTCTCATCAAAACATATTGAAACCTGATATGAAAATGTTCCATTTGATGAGTAAACATCGAATATCAAATTTATTTTAACTTTCATATTTAAAGATTTCTTCCCTCAACCATCATGGTCAACTAGGGATGAAAAGGATGAAATCTTGAAAAAGGACCACCTATTAAAACTTTACCAAAATGATGTACATGATCTATAATGATATAGAATTCAATTTCATGTCCTAAAAATCAGAAATGGTATCATGAGAAGGTAAATGTTGATATTTTATGGTTGACTTAAAGGAAAGACAAGTCAGACCAACTCTATCAAATACATCACTTCAACCAACAATATATACATGAAAATGCTTCATTCTACGAGTAGAGATAGAAAATCAAGTTTATTTTCACTTTCATGTTCATGATTTCAACTCTATCATACCAATTAGTCAACTGTGGACATGGATGAAAATCTGGAAAATGACCACTCTATGCAACTTTACCACCATGTTCAACATCTCAAATAATGTATATGGTTCAATTTTCAGACATTTTGGAGAATATTCTATCTTTCAGTAAGGTAAAGGGTGAAATTTCAAGGTTGTCTTTAAAGATCAAGGAGGAAATCTTGAATATAGAGAACCACATCCTCAATCTACAAAATACATATCAATCGATTGGAAATCAATAGTACATCTCGAAAATATAATTTATTTTATGTTTTGAAATATCTCCTTGACCTTTTTTAGTCAATTAAGACAATTAAGGATGACACTATATGAAAAGTTACCAATCTCAAAATAAATGATAATATCGTGTTCTACATCTCAAATAAAGTGGACTATCTTCAAATTATATATTTTCATTTCAAGAAATGCATTCAGTAGATAGTACATGGTGATACTTCAAGAGAATGGATGAAATCTGAAAGGTACAGAAACAACTCCATTTTCACTGAAATTGATATCATGATATGTAGACACTCTAATTAGCATATTATATCAATTTCATAAATATTGGTTCAGTAGATGTCGAGTTGTCACCTCTATCATTTTACTATAGAACTTTGACATAAAATCAAAGCTTATGCTCCAACTCGCTCATTATACATACAATCAATCTAGAATTGATGCCACATAGAGTGTACATCCATTAAATACAAAATATATAGTTTGGAAACAATTTGTATTACTTTCAAATAGTGAGTCAGTTAATGTTCAATGTCAATAGTGCTTTTATCCAAGTTTACACTCCATATCAGTGAAAGTACGTCCAATCATCATGTAACTTTGCCAGATACAATTAATCACATTATTATACATGTGGTATCAGTTTTAGTCTGTTAGAATTGAATTCAATATGATAATAATAACATCTGTCAAATTGTCACATTTCAACATATA